CCTGCCACAACACCTGGCTATTTTTTTGTTATTGTTGTTGTTCTTTAGCAGGGCCTGGCTGGGTTTAAACCCACCAGCCCTGGTGCATGTGGCCAGTGCCCTTACTAACTACTGAACTTTGAGCACTAAGCCACATCAGCATGTCTTTTGGGGGACACAGTTCAACCTATGACATCCTGTCTGTACTCTCTGTCCTTCAGGAATTTATCCAAGCACAAGGGTTTCTTTCTCTGTCTAGCTTAGAGTACCCTGAGGGTCCATATGTTTTACCTGCCCACAGGGCCTCCAGGTTCCCTTCTGTACCCTCCCATGAGGGCCACTGCTTTAGCTGGACTCCCTTTCCCTGGTACCCCAGCACCCCCTGCTGTCTATATTCTGCAGGTGCAGCTGGGAACTTCCTGTGTCCTGCCAGTGTGTTGTCCTTCAACGCCTTCAAGACCGTGATGGACATCGACACTGTTGGCACCTTCAATGTGTGTCGTGTGCTCCATGAGAAGTTTTTCCGGGTAGGTGTCCTCCCACCCAGCGTCTCCCACCTTCTGGTGGCCCACTCACCAACTGCTGCCCCTGGTGTGTTGCAGGACCATGGAGGGGTGATCGTGAACATCACTGCAACCCTGGGTAACCGTGGGCAGGTGCTCCAGGTGCATGCAGGCTCAGCCAAGGCAGCCATGGGTATGGACACCAGGTCTGCCACCTGGGTTCTCTGAGGGCCCCACTCCTAACCACCCCTGTAGGTCAGCAGTTTCAAGGAGATGCTGAGTCCAGCTGTGAGCACTAGGGAGGCCTGACCTTGGTCCTGGGTCCCATCCCAGAAGGCAGAGTGGTCCTGCATTCTCCACTCATATTCGTCTTCCTTTTGTATAGATGCAATGACGAGGCACTTGGCTGTGGAGTGGGGCCCCCAGAATATCCGTGTCAACAGCCTTGCCCCTGGCCCCATCAGCGGCACAGAGGGGCTCCGGCGACTGGGTAAGGAAGGCTCTTGGGGAGATCTGGCCTCCCTTGGGCCTTTCCTGGGGCACAGGCTGCCCTTCAAAGCTTCTAGAACCTTGGCAGGTGCATGTTGAAGGCCTGTGCTGGCCCCTCAGCTACAGGGCTCTGTCTGCTAGGCCTGGTGATACTGAAGGCCTCCTATTGCTCTGAGATGTGGCTTAGGGAAGGTGTTGGCTGTGGGGCACTGAGATGCTGTGCTTATGAGGGGCCTGAGTCTCTTGCTGCCCTCCAGGTGGCTCCCAGGCCAGCATGAACACAAAAGTCTTTGCAAGCCCCCTGCAGAGGTTGGGGAACAAGACAGAGATTGCCCACAGCGCACTCTACCTGGCCAGCCCACTGGCATCCTATGTGACGGGTGCTGTGCTGGTGGCTGACGGTGGGGCATGGCTGACATTCCCAAATGACATCAAGATGCTGGCGGATTTTACAACCTTCTCTCCTAAGCTCTAGGTGAGGTGCTGACCCTGGGTCCTGGGGTTACCTGTGTCCTTGGTACCCCTGGCCTTGCCTTGCTGGAGAGTGGGTATCACCCTTGTCTACATCCTTCCTGCCCCCTCTTGGCTACATGTGGGATGCTGCCCAATGGGCAGACAGGAGTGACAGGCTTTGTGGGAGGTGGCTATATGACCTAGGCCTCTGCTGGCATTTCTGGCAGTTGCTAGAAGACGAAGGCAGAGAAAGTGTCTGAAGGGAAACTGCCCTCAGCCTTCTTCTGAGCTCAAGGATACCTCCTGGGCCCCTGACCCCAGTGGTGCACAGCTAAACCTAACACCTTCCTCTAGAGGCCACGCTAACTTCACATTCTCCCTCCCCATGGCCCTACCTGGGGAACTCCCCATGCTGGCATCTGACTGAGGGCCAGCTAGGGATGGGAATGTAGCCAGGGTGCTGGGATGTCTCCTGCCTGCCCAACTCCAGCCCTGGGCTGGTCTCCTCCTTCCCTGTGTGTGTGCATTGGGCATCCTTGGTCATTACCTTTGCCTTAGATGGGTATGGTGCACTCCATGCCTCCTTTCCCCTTCCTTACTCTTGGCCTGGGGATCTCTGTCCTCAGAGAGAAGTCAAACCAGAGAGGAAGGAAAAAGATGATCAAAAAGAATCACTGGAGGCCAGGCGCGTGACTCACACTTGTAATCCCAGCACTCTGGGAGGCTGAGATGGGAGGATCCTTTGGGCTCAAGAGTTCGAGACCAGGCTGAACAAGATTGAGACCCCATCTCTACTAAAAATAGAAAAAAAAAAAGCCAGGTATTGTGGCAGTGTCTCTGGTCCCAGCTATTTGGGAGACTGAGGCTGGAGGATTGCTTGAACCCAGGTGTGTGAGGTTACTATCATCTAGGTTCATGCCATGATACTCCCTTGGCAACAGAGTGACACTCTGTCTCAAAAAAATAAAAAAGAATCACTGGTGATCCTGTCACTTAGAGGTTGGGATTTTGTTTCCTTCCTGCCTATTTTTTGTGATGTTTAGAACACTCTTTCCAGCTTGGTGCCTGTGGCTCAGGTGGCTAAGGCGCCAGCCACATACATCAAAGCTGGTGAGTTTGAATCTAGCCCAGGCCTGCCAAACTACGATGACAACTACAACCAAAAAATAGCTGGGGTTGTGGCAGGCACCTGTCATCCCAGCTACTTGGGAGGCTGAGGCAAGAGAATCGCTTAAGCCCAGGAGTTGGAGGATGCTGTGAGTTGTGACTGCACAGCACTCTACTCAGGGTGACAGCTTGAGGCTCTGTCTCGAAAAAAAAACCAAACACTCTTTCCACCTGAAGCCTGGTGCTCAGAATGCACCTGCTACCCTGAAAGAGGCAACCTGTTTACATGTGGCCTACTCGGCCCACCCAGTGATTGCTGCTCTCCTTGGGTTGGTCACTACTATGCCTTTCTTCCTCTGTGAATATATCCACAGCCCCTCTGCACATAGCAGAGGGTGAGCAGGAGGCCAGGGTGGGGGAGATGTGGCCTACTGTGGGCCTTGTGGTCCCCAGTCTATTTTTCTTTTTCTTTTTTTTTTTTTTGAGACAGAGCCTCAAGCTGTCCCCCTGGGCAGAGTGCCGTGGCATTACAGCTCACAGCAACCTCCAGCTCCTGGGCTCAAGCGAGTCTCCTGCCTCCGCCTCCCAAGTAGCTGGGACCACAGGCGCCCGCCACAATGCCCGGCTATTTTTTGGTTGCAGCCGTCATTGTTGTTTGGCGGGTCCGGGCTGGGGATTCGAACCCGCCACCTTAGGTGTACGTGGCTGGCGCCTTAGCCGGTTGAGCTATAGGCGTCGAGCCCCCAGTCTATTTTTCTATACTCCCCTCCCAGTTCACCACTGCCCCAAACCCCAAATGTGCTCAGGCTTTACTTTCTGAGAAAGAGGAGAAATATTTGCCCCTTATAGTTTCACTCTTTGCCCCAACACGGTATTAAGCTTATGGCTGTTAAGTCAGCTTTAGAGGTACTGCATTTCAGCACATGCTCCTCACCTGTGTGTAGGAGTGGACACTGTTGCCCCGTAAGACAGTATCAGAGCTGTGTGCACTGATTTGCCAACAGCAGCAGCAGCAGCAGCTTTGCAATGACCACGCTGTAGTCAAAGCTTAGCTGAGGTCCTATTCCTCCCAGCACCACTGGCCATGGCACACCTGGTATCCAACTTGTTCAGCCTTCTTGGAGAGTCCAGATGTAGCCTCTCTGGGGCCTTAGCAACATAAATGATTGAAAACTTAATAGCCACGGGCAACACCAAATGTTCTTGTCTGCCCTGAGCATGGAATCAGTAGGACTGACAGTTATGCCTACCGAAGTGCACCTCATCTAAGGAAATGAGTCACTCGACTTTGCTCTGAAGCCTGTCTTGAGTATCCCATCACCATTACAACCAGCCCCTGTTGCCTTTGCAGTCTGGGATGCACAGTTGAGGTGAAAATGTGCAGCAGGGAATTCAGGCTAAGGAAAAACAGCCACCTGCCAGGACCTGGGATGCTTGCTCCTGATAGGACAGAAGGGTCTGAGGCAGGCACTCTAGGACGAGGCCTTTCAGTGCAGACAGATCACATGAACGTGGCAGTCATTTTGGCTTTAGTTCACCAGCCCAGGGTCCATGGTTAACAGGCATACCCAGCAGGTGTCACTTGCCTCACAATGAAGCTAGGAAAGATAAGTGACAGCAAGAAGGACCAGGTGTACAGTGAAGATGGACAGTAGCATTCTGGCCTATGGAGCTGTTGTCCTTGGTGGTGGCATTTACACCACAGCAATTGGCAGGCGTTTTGGCTCACACCTATAATCCCAGAACTCTGGGAGGCTGAAGTGGGAGGATCCCTTGAGCTCAGGAGTTTCAGACCAGCCTGAGCAAGAATGAGATCCTGTGTCTACTAAAAATAGAAAAACTAGCTGGGCATTGTGGCAGGAGGCTGAGGCAAGAGGATTGCTTGAGCACAGGAGTTAGAAGTTGCTATGAGCTATGTATGACATAGCTAGGGCAACAGAGTGAGACTGTGTCTCAAAAAAAAAAAAAGTTTCTATTCACATCAACAGTTTCTTCAAATATGCCATAATTATCTTGAAAATACAGAAAATGCCAGGTTCCTGAAAGGAAAGGTTATTTTTTATATGCGAACCTTGGTCAGAGAATTTTCTGAAACTTTACCTGTGGAAGCTACCAACTCTGCCAACACTTAACCTTCCCCCTTTGGTAAAGGTAAAAGTGTTTAACTTTAGTCCTTTGAAAACTATGTATACATGTGGTGCAGTGGCTCACACCTATAAGTCTAGCACTCTGGGAAGTTGAGGCAGGTGGATCTCCTGAGCTAGGAGGTCAAGACCAGCCTGAGCAAGAATGAGACCCCATCTCTATAAAATAGGCATTGTGCTGGGTAACTATAGTCTCAGCTACTCCAGAGACAGAGCCAAGAGGATCATTTGAGCCTAAGAGTTTGAGATTGCTATGAGCTGTGGCGCCATAGCACTCTATTGAGGATGACAAAATGAGACCCTTGTCTCAATAAAAAAAGAAAAAAGAAACTGCATAAAAACGTCAGCCAAAACAAGGTGAGAAGACATGAGGTGGTAACCATGGAGATGTGAGATTCAGCCCCTTGTCTGTGTCTTCACCCATGTTTCTAGGAGCTGATGCACATTTTATTTATTTATTTTTTTGAGACAGCCTCAAGCTGGCCCCCTTGGTAGAGTGCTGTGGCATCACAGCTCACAGCAACCTCCAACTCGTGGGCTCAAGCGAGTCTCCTGCCTCAGCCTCCCAAGTAGCTGGGACCACAGGTGCCCCCCACAACACCTGGCTATTTTTTGGTTGCAGCCGTCATTGTTGTTTGGTGGGTCCGGGCTGGATTTGAACCCACCACCTTAGG